GCAATTAGTTTAACCAAACACTGTGTGTTTTTCTGTAGGTCAAATGTGGGTTTGGGGAAGAAGAAGTTAAGAAAGAGAGAGAGGATTTTCCGATTGATGGTGGTGGTGGTGTTGTTTATATTCGCCGGAAAAATGAGGTTTTTAGAGGGATTTTCCGCTGGTGGTGTTCATATTTTCCGGCAGTGGCAGCTTTCATATCTTACGGCAGTAGCGGTGGGTCTTTTAGAGAGAGAGTGTGTGTGAGAGAGAGAGAGATAGAGAGATAGAGAGAGAGAGGGTGGGCCCCATATTTTTAATTAATAAAACATTAAATTAAATAGAAAAAACAAAGCAAAATATATGAGAAGGGCATTACAGTCATTTCACTATTCAGAGGGACCAAAAATACAACAAAACTAGCTCAAAAGGACCACCAATCCAAAAAAGTCGTGGTTTGGACTAAAACCCTAAAAAAATGCATACCACAGGGACCATTTCTGCAATATTGTCTAAATAATAATCGATACAAATACATTACAAAAGCTAAAAGATATACAAAATAACTATATTATAGTCATTTTAATACATAAGTATATTATAGTCATTTTATATATAATAATTATACAAAATAATAATTAAAACTTCAATATATAAGTATATTGTAGTCATTTTATGTATATTATAGTCATTTTATGTATAATATGGATTTTACCCAAAACAAAAACTAACCATAGGAACGGTCCGTATTAAAAGAAAGAGTAAATTACACAATTCGTCCCTGATGCAAGTGTCAAATTGCACGTTTGATCCCTATTTTCAAAAATTAACTCGGACCGTCCTTTATATTGTTATAAATTACACGCTTCGTCCCTAACAGACATAAAATGACTATAATGCCCTTTTCTATTTCTTTTTCATTTATTTTTCAGATTCTTGATTATTTTTTATTATCAAAAATGTTTTAATTAAGCTTGTGGGTCCCACCCCACCCCCTTTTGCACCATTTCCCTTTTCTTTTCATCTATGATCCTGAACACCACCACGTTTACATCTTCTCCACTCTACTAAGACAACCTTCGTCGGAAAAAACCTTCATCTCCACCATAAAACATCATTCTGTCATTATCAATCAAATAACAACTTGAACCAGCCACACAATCAAACCCTTACCTGCACCACTTACTCATCCTTCCTCTTTACCGCCAATT